TGTTCAATTCAAACGAAATCAGTGCCTCTATTAAACATTGGTTAACAAGAGCTGGCCTAGAGAATTCGGTAAGAGTTTGAAATACCAGCGAGTTTATACCTGCCTATTTGACCGTCTCTGTACAGCAATGAACTGCATAAATTGCCCTAACAGTAGAGACGGTGATTGCACGACTTCGGGTACGGTGTATCTAATCCCTTCTAAAGCATGAGGGGACGAGGATGACTTCGGGTACGGTGTATCTAATCCCTTGTAAAGCATGAGGGGACGAATACGTTTAGTTTATACCTGCCTATTTGACCGTCTCTGTACAGCAATGAACTGCATAAATTGCCCTAACAGTAGAGACGGTGATTGCACGACTTCGGGTACGGTGTATCTAATCCCTTGTAAAGCATGAGGGGACGAGGATGACTTCGGGTACGGTGTATCTAATCCCTTGTAAAGCATGAGGGGACGAATACGTTGGAAAAACTGGTAGTCCACTCTGCTCCCGTTCAAAAGAATACCTACCTGGAAAATATAAATTGAAACCAAAACTTCACTAGGTGCGCATCACCTGTATTACCTGTAGTCCCGTTGACGGTCGAGTGACTCGAGCGGGTGCCAATAAATCTTCCATTTTTCCCTATCGCGCGCAAGAGTAGCCCAGTGGGTTTTGCTTGCGATAGGTAATCGTCCAGCATCATATCTTTCTTCAAGACTCCTTGTGAAGAACTCTGACCTTGGTCGGTGGTCTTCCTGCAGTGCGTTTAATATCCCGAGAAAACCAGTCACTGACGGCTCTTGTCCATCGGCTGTCGTTCATGCGCATTACGTGTCCGGCTCATCTTATCTTCTCCTGTTTGGCGTACAGAACGGTATCTTTGATTTTTGATCGTTGACGCAGATCGAAGCTTCGGATCTCTTCCCTTACTTTTGTGAAACGGGATACTCCTAGCATTGTCCTTTCGACTGAGCGTTCGATAATGCTGACTGACCTTTCATCCTGCTCATGCAACGACCAGGTTTCTGACGCATACGTTAACGCGTGAAGTACTGCTGAGCCGAAAATGTGGCCACAGAGTCGTGGATTAGAGGGATATTTGGCTGTGCTTGGCTGATGTTTGGTGTTATAACGACGATCTCATCAGCAAAGCGAAGGGGGTGTAACTGTTGACCATCGACTTTCACTCCCATGCTGTCCCATTCCAATGTTCGCATGACGTTCTGTAGGGTGGCAGCAAATAATTTTGGCGAAATGGTATCGCCTTGCCTAACTCTTCTTTTGACGTCAATAAAAATATCGTTGTTGAATGGTGTTACCTTGGCGGTGAAATATTTGTACAGCTCACTAAGAATCTTTACGTACTGAGTAGGGACTCCCTGACTATCAAGGGGTTCCATGACTGCTTCTATCTCAACTGAATCAAAGGCCTTCTGTAAATCGATGAAAGTGAGACAGACCGGTCTATTGTGCTCTCGCGATACTTTAATAAGCTTTGTCATCTTGTGGACTTCATCCATCAGACAAAATCCTTTTCAAAACCCTGTTTGCTAACATGCCTGTCCATCGCCCAGTGTTCGGTCAGTCCTGTTTTGCAGGTCACCCTTCTTGACTAGTAAAACGATCTTGCTGGTCTTTCACTGAACAGGTTCACTGAACAGGGACCTTGCATTCAAACAGGTAATGTCTGAAGACCCGAGCCAATATGTATACGAGGACTGGTGGAAGGTTCTTCAGGTGATCTGATCTAATCTTTTCCAGACCTAAGGCTGTTCGATTTCTCACCGACGAAATAGCCTGTCGGATTTCGGAAGGGAGAACCGGAGGTACAGCATATCCATTCTCCTTTATTTCATATGACGGAAGGTGGACGGGGCCATCGAAGAGATCTGAGTAGTGTCGGTGAATGATTTTCTCCATGGCATTTCTGGACGCTGTAACTGTTCCGGCTGGGCGTCGGAGTGCAATTATCTGGGTCTTGTAATTGGCGAAGCCTCAGTGGGCTTTGCGAATGCTTTTCCCAGCCTCTGCACCTTCGGCCATTACTGCTGCTCTTCTCTCTCTATGATCTTCATTGATCGCCTGTCTCCATTGTTTTGCAAGCTCGGACGTTAGTTTGCTGTTGCCTAACCGAGCCGGTTAGTCGCGAGGCTACGTGGCGCGTCCCCGCGTGGCGGATAAGGGGTCAATCGCGGACCAAAAGCGACCGTTGCTTCCCTGAGACGCAGGTGGATCCAGGGGATACACTCCCTGTTTCTGAGGCGCTGATTCAGCACATACTTCTTGTATTTGCAAGGCGTATTCATCCATTCGTGCGTGGGTGCGTTCGTGCCTATGCGGATTGTATTCAACAATTCAATTCGGTCAAAAGCCTGCATTCAAGTGATAGGGAAGCATATGGGAAACGGTTAGGAGTCGCCTCCAACAAATAAGGTCCATGTCCACTCTGGGAGAGCCTGGCAAGCTAACCGTGAGTATACTCAGCTCCCACGTTCAGAGTCCAGCAAGCTGCTCAAGAATGCTAAACACAGTAAAAAACCGGGCCTCATTCCCCTGACCCCGAAAGTGACCCCATTTCGTCAGAACTGGAAAGGGCAAATACGGAGTGGCTGCAAAAGGCTTAGGTAAAATGGAAGCTGCCTGGATTTCAAAGAACTAAAGTGAGGATCTGCACCTGCAATGCACGTACACTTACACCCGAATCCTCGATAAAAGAGTTGCTCATGCAACCAAGAAGGATAAGGTACGACGCCGTCGGCCTGGCCGAGACGAGGAGACGCCAGCCTTTCAACGCCGTCTATGACACCGGAGAAGAACTGTTCCTCGGAGCATGAGACAGTAGAGGAGTCAGCGGCGTCGGCGTTTTCGTCAACACGAGTTTGTCCGCGAACATCGATTCATTCAAGCAACTTACAACCCGAATCAGACGTTTACGATTAAAGGAACGTGGGACAATTCCGGCTTTTGCAATCTTCGTCGTTCGCGTGCCGACATCAAACTATGACAAAGATGAAGTCGAAACGTTCTATATGGACTTGGAGAGGCTCTACAGAGAAGAACACACATTCTTCAAGGTCATCATTAGAGATTTCAACGCCAAGATTGGACCAAGAAGAGCGTCTGACGAACGTCTCATTTGAACCCACGGTTTAGAGCAAAGCGAACGGGGTGAGCGGTTGTCTGAGTTTATCATGGCGACCAATTCAATTCATGGTAACTCGCAATTCCAGAAGCCCCACCCCTCAGCGCTGAACGTGGGAGTCTTCTAAAGGAGAGTACCATAACGAAATAGACCACATCATAGTAAATAAAAGGCCTAACCGATGTCGCTGTTGACCCAAAATTCTACACGGGATCAGACCAACGTCTCCTTCGTGGTGCAGAATTCTATTCCTGGCGGAAAGGAGAAAAAGCCGCTAAATTCCTAACGAAGCCCCGAACCACCGTAAAGTCGGATTTATTCAATTCATTAGTCGGCTTTTGGGAAGAAGCCGATGTCGATAACATCGACGAAGAATACGATCGGCTCATTCAACATTTTCACGTTAACGCTGTGAAAGCTCAGAGTTCGAAAGTAACCAAGAGACGTCTGTCTCCAGAAACATTCCAGCTGATACGCCAGCGTGAAATGGCACGCGCTACAGACAACCGCGAACTAACGTCCGAGCTTGCAAAACAATGGAGACAGGCGATCAAAGAAGATCATAGAGAGAGAAGAGCAGCAGTAATGGCCGAAGGTGCAGAGGCTGGGAAAAGCATTCGCAAAGCCCACCGAAGTTTCGCCAATTGCAAGACCAAAATGATTGCTCTCCGGTGCCCAGACGGAACAGTTACAGCGTCCAGAAAGACAATGGGGAAAATCATTCACGAATACTACTCGGATCTCTTCGACAGCCACGTCCACCTTCCGTCATATGAAATAAAGGAGGATGGTTATGTTGTACCTCCGGTTCTCCCTCCCAAAATCCGACATGCCATTTCGTCGGTGAAAAATCGAACAGCACCAGGTCCGGACAGGATAAGACCAGAAAACCTGAAGAACCTTCCACCAGTCCTCGTAAACACACTGGCTGGGCTCTTTACACGTTACCTATATGAATGCAAGGTCCCTACTCAGTGGAAGACCAGCAAGACCGCGTTATTATTAAAGAATGGTGACCTGCACGATATCGTCAACTATCGCCCAATCTGCTTACTGTCTATAGTCTACAAACTTTTCACTTGAGTTATCCTAAACAGGAATGACAGAACACTAGATGAAGGGCAGCCACGTGGACAAGCAAGGTTTCGAAGAGGATTTAATACGATGGACCACATCCACACGGTAACACGGCTCATTGAAGTATCGCGAGAGTACAATAGACCGCTCTGTCTCACTTTCATCGATTTACAGAAGGCCTTTGATTCGGTTGAGATGGAAGCAGCCTGGGAAGCCCTTGATAGTCAAGGAGTCCCTACTCAGCACATAAAGATTCTTCGCGAGCTGAGCAGAAATTTAACAACCAAGATAACACCTTTCTACAAAGATATTATCATTGACGTCAAAAAAGGAGTTAGGCAAGGTGATACCATCTCGCCAAAATCATTTACCGCCACTCTCCAGAACGTTATGCGAGCATTGGAATGGGACAGCATGGGAGTGAAAGTCGATGGTCGGCAGTTACACCATCTTGGCTTTGCTGATGACATCGTCGTAATAATACCAATCATTATCCAAGCGGAACGTGTGCTTGACGACTTTGATAAAGTCTGTGGAAAGATTGGTTTTCGATTAACTCTCGCAAAACCGATGTTCATGAAACAAACAAACAGGCGAAGATAAGATGAGCCGGACAAGTAATGCGCATGAATGGCAACCGATGGACAAGAGCCGTTAGTGACTGGCTTCCTCGGGAGGACCACCGACCCAATGGTCAGAGTTCTTCACAAGGAGCCTTGAAGAAAGATATGGTGCTCGACGATTCCCTAGAGCGAGCAAAACCCACTGGGCTACTCTTGCACACGACAGGGAAAAATGGAAGATTTACTGGCGCCCGCTCGAGTCGCTCGACGATCAACGGGACTACAGGTGATACAGGTGACAGGTGATGCCATGCATGTGTATGTTATACCTGTAATCTCCTCTCCTCTACCGTTGTACTCGCGTGATACTCAGTCATGCGAATATTCAACAGTGGCGTTTGCGCCGCGCATCAGCAAACCGTACGTGGCGTCCACTATCGATTAGTCGACTCAAGTCAATTTCCGGGCTGGCCTACGCCTAACCATACTTTCTTAGCTAACGATTTGTAATATCACTGTTTTTCGTCATATCACTTAAGTAGTATTACGTAAGATGCTTTTCCATTAATAACGTACCTTGTTGCTCTTTGTATCGTCACTACTTACAGACTGACTCGTTATTCATAGTTTCACATCTGCGTTCCTATCATTATAATTTCTTTATTATTGTGTTCATATTGTTACATTTAAAGGTTTAGTTGCCCAAATTTAAGATTCCATGTCATGACAGAATTGGGAAAAGCAGCGTGGCAGGACGCATAACACAAAGGAGCGATTTCAGTACGACACGCCTCTGAGGAATTCCCTTGTCAGAAATTAAATTTCCTGGGATGGTTTCGGTGACACCATGTACGCAGATGTACTATATAATTCAATTTTAGAACTGTTCCCAACGAGTTATTATCTTATCGCATGAATAAGATGGCTCTAAGTGCCGAACTTTAGCGTTACAGGGCAGCCGAAACTTCTCTGTTTCATCCTAAACGGCAACTGTTTCTAAAAGCCGATCCTCGAGTTGCAAATGATCTCCACGTAAAGAGCAAATCCACAAAGTTCACATGCGCAATGTGCTACTCTCACGTTAAAATAGCAATCTTATATACTGTGTGGGATCACGCATGATTTCGAGACATTCCTCTCTGTAGTTCATTTTCGGATTCTTCCAATTTATCCAGAATGATCGAAGAGTTTTGGGTGCCCAAGTTTTCATTTCGTATGCGAGGATGGTAACTTCTACTTCAAAATCTTCCTCACTATGTCTCTGTGTTCTATGCGCGCCTTGTTGAGTATTTCGTTTAGCTCTCAGTTTACCGACTAGTTGTTTTTTAAACGGATGCAGACTGGTATACACTTTTCGCCAATGTATTCGTCTCCGTACGCTTCACAAAGATGAGATAAAGCTTATCCGAACTCATACAATCACCGTCTCTACCGCTAGAGCATATTATGCAATTCTTTGGTATAGACGTTCGTATAGGCGGTTACGAACTAGCTGGAGTCTCAGAGTTTCCGGTAGTATTTTTATCACTGTTACCGAATTCTCTCGATAGGCCCTTCTTAAGCAGCGTTATATAGCTGCACCTAATTCGTTTGAAATCAAGATCATGGTAAACGGGACCTTATTATCAGTAGAGTTATTGTTTGCGGGCTTTCGTTTTCCTCTGCAGCTATCCTCAGAAGCTATAATTTCGCGGCCACTGGAAAAGCTAATTTTCGCGTCAGTTTTCGGGATTCTACTTTCTGCTCTCTTCCCTTGCATACGCTGGTATCTGTTCGAAGCATGTTTCTTACAAGCGCTCTTTTTGTGTGTGAAAGGTGAGATGAAAGGTAATGAACCAGTGTCGACAATTCGACCATTAAACATCTAATGGAAAATAATATTGCCTATTGTAACTTTAGTCTATATGTCATCTGACAGTGGCGAGTGCCCTGCATTCACATCCCATCCTAATCATCGGGTACGCCAGTTGATACGGCACCTATAGCCATCAGACACCACTAGGCATGCTACCAGGCACGACTTATTGCTTAGGAGCTAGACCTTGTGACCCGTGCCGTGACCCTGTGACCCACGCCTCTCGCTTGGTTCTAGCGACACCTCTTGGCACAGCCATTTGCATTCTGACGACGCCTGGTTTTCGCCATTACGCCTTTCATCATTATCTTGCCCTCTCACTTAATCTTCTATCACTACCCATTTACTTTGGAAGTAACATGGTTAAATAAATTCTCCAGCTCTTGCTTTGTCATTGTCAACATATTAAGGTTATCATCAACCTTTCATGTAACCATTACTAGTTCTTAATCTAGCAACTTTCTGAAATACTTTCACTCGTTACAAGCACTCCACGAAGTTCACCAATACCACACCAATTCATATGTTTAGGCAAACAAAATGTAAACTAAAGTCCTGTGTTCTTCTATGGTAATCATATTCACGTTGTCATCAATTGTAATCTGTCCTATGCGTTGCTAATACAGCAATTGCCTCAAATGCCTACACTGCTCATAAGTACTCCATTCAGCAAAGTCTTCCTCATCGTCGAAACAACCCACTATCACTATCACATTCTTGTTTTGTGGTAATGTAAATCCTTACGTTGTTGTAGGTATGCTACTATTGTTACACGAACAATATCTCCTGATCGCCTCTTTTGTCCTTATAGTCCTGCTATATATTGCTCTACATCATTGTTAGCGTACTCTGTATAGTTAGATTACTACCTACTGAACCGCCTCACATGCAATTTATTGTACATACATTTCTAGTCTAATTGCGTTATCGTGTAAATAATATGTATATTAACGGTTTAATTACGCAAATTTGAGGTGTTCAACTCAGCGACTCACACAAGAACCCCGCATGGCAGCTACAACGACTTGGTATTCATATGTGAGCTCATCGCCACAACAACCAGTACGTTTCTACCACTTGGCTTGGCTATTAGTGTCATTTCATAACGTAGCCGTTTTCGTATAGGTCAATTTGAGCGTTCACAAATGGAAGTCAGTTTTTCTTCACCTTCCTTCGGGTAAAATTAAAGTACTTGACTGTTTATTCAGCAGCTCAAAACAATTGTCCATTTCTTTTTGAGCGCAGCAAATGACAAAACAGTCGACTATTTTTCTATAGTAGAGTAATGGCTGGAGATCAAGTGATGATGCTTCCACCTCAGACATTCAGACATAAATGCAATGGCAAGCCTTGGTGCGTGTTGCTGTTCTCTCGTTAACCCTCCTATTTGAGCGAAGTGTTTCGCTGAACATCTAAGGATTGAGCAGTTCAAGCACTACTTCCTTCCTCTGTCCATCAACTTTGGACGGAATGAGCGATTTCCTTAGTTTGCCAAGCGGAACTTTCACTAGTGTAGTTATATGTGTCGCATAACCTCAAACTTATGGAATTACATCATTTATACACATAATACTTACGCACTCATAACAGCACAGCATAACAGAGTTTACTAGAGTAGCCTTTTGCTACATTGCTCCATGAATTCGTCACTGGCAAGATTTGACACCGGTTATCATAGCAATGATTAGAGGCATGCACTGTGACAAACGTCTACGGGTTTCTACACAAACACATATGACAGAGGTTGTTTTGCACAGTTTTGTTATCGTTCTTGTGCAATGTTTCCTTGCGTTGTAGCTGCACTGCTGTCACCATTCGCTATTTTATTCAGTTGGTTATGCTGACTATATTTCGCAGTTTGTTTGTTGATACGATATTTAAACATCCGATTAAAGCGGACTAGCGAATTAAGCCTGCGATTCATTGAAGTAATTTTGAGTGTGGGTTCAACTGGCGAGTCCACACGTGAAAAAGTGTACGCTTGCTATTCGTTATAAATGAAGATCTTACGTATAAATGAACACTGTACTGATAAAAGTTTTCTGAGCTGCACAAGCTATTATAAAACGATTGCGGACCAGTTGAAGGCGTAAGGTATTGGGTAGGAGATCAATAACGGTTACATAACTTTCAAGACAAGTTTTTCTTAAGCATCTCTTAGTGGCGCAACTTCATTTGATATGAAGAGTAGCTTAGGAGAGATCTTGCTTACGTCCGAAACATTATTTTGGGGAATAATTCTACCTTTTTGTCCGACCCAAGTGTCTTCTGTTTCGTAGCCATTGGAAATGACTAGTTTTCGTGCCAACTTTATCGATTCTTCCTTTCCTGTTCTCCTGTGTACATATTTCTCGGTAAACGTTTTTCTTCAGTGGTTTATTTCATGTGAGAAGGATAAGAGGAGAGGTAGTGAACTATGATGTTAGTCTTATTCCACTATTTTACTACTCTCTACTATTCTATTCTATTCTCTGTTCTATTCCACTTTATTCTATTCTCTACCTATTCGGCTAATCTATTCTATTCTATTCTATCATTCTATTCTCTACCTACTCTACTATTCTGTCTTATCCTGCTGTTCCTATATTTCTTAGACATTTCCTCAAAGGTGTGGGTAACGCAGTGGTAGATATGCCGATCATCACGAGACCGATACTGGTTAGATCCCGCTTCAGGCTCACCTAGTCTTTCATCCCTCTAAGGATGAGAAATTAGTGAAAAATTTGAATTTCTACAAAGAAAACGAAGTTGAATGCTCGTTGAAAGGCAAGACTTTGTTTGGATTCTTTCATGTTATGCTAAGGCTTCACTCTTATGCAATCTCATTTGTGTTATTTTGCTATTGACCTTCTTGGAGTTTTAATTCTATGAGATTAACGAGCTTTTCCCTTTTCCTATGGTGAGTGATCCTATAGCCTCTTATGTCTTACAGCTTAAATCCCTCGAGTGGTTTACTGGAGCGAAACCAATTCGAATGAGCCGGATAGTATCTGTGATGATCACCTGGGAACAATGTAATAGTTTAATCTCGTTATTCGATGGGATGACGATTGGGTGGGGAAGGAAACGAGTGGAAAATGTGCTGGGATCCACAGAACTCGTGAAGACGGGCTGTCTAAGTATCCTGGTAGAAGACAAATTAGAATCGCAACGTTCAAGTTACGTATAGGAAGCGGTTCTACATACAGTAGCACTTTAGTGTTCCCGAAGCAGGTTATCTGGCAGGAATTGACATGAGGACATATCAAGGCGCAACAGAATCGGAACAGTGTGATGGTGCTGATATGGAAAGACAATGTCAAGTCGTGCGCAACCTTCAGCGCAAGATTATCAAAGCTTGTAGTGATTGAATACTATAACAAGAGAAAGCTTCTTGTTAAAGGTAAATCCTCAAGCGACACCGAAAGCCGTCGAAAGTTGGAGAAGCTTAGTGGATGTTGGATGCGAGGAAACGAATCGAATGCGAAAAGTACTGGAATCCATACAGTGGAGAAGAAAGGTGAGTCGAGTAAAAAAAATGTTTTTGCTTAAAATAATTTGCCGTGATATTTTGTACATCTATTATTCCACATTATCTTTTAGTTCCAACA